GGTTTCGTGATTTCAGTAGAGAAGATTCGGAGAGTCCGATGCAAGAGAATCGAAACGAGAGAGAAGTGTTTGAGAAGAGGAGAAGGTACGAGAACAGAGAGGTTGAGTTATTGTCAGGAAGAGGAAGAGAAGGAGTGAAGATATGGTTACAGGAATTAGGGTTAGGGAGATATTGGCCAATGTTTGAGATGCATGAAGTTGATGAACATGTGTTGCCATTGTTGACATTGGAGGATCTCAAAGATATGGGGATAAATGCTGTTGGATCAAGAAGGAAGATGTATTGTGCAATACAGAAGCTTGGGAGAGAGTTCTCGTGAAGTTTTTGATCTGTTGAGTTGTGTTTTTGTATGTTTTTGTGACAGCCATAGCAATGTAAGCTGCAATGTCTGAAGCTTTTTTTAATCTATCTTTGATGTTATGGTTGAATGTAGTATTTAGCCAGAGTAGTCTTGTAGTAGTTAGAGGAAGAAGAAGGATTGACTCATTGTGATTGTACCTTCTGTTTTTTTGTTTTTCTGATGTCTTATTATGGTTGGGGTACTTATTGACCATATTTATCCAAAACCTTTTTAATACAAATATCGAACGTACAAAGAGTTGTTGTTCAGAGTAAAAATGGTACTCTTAGACATTTTTCCAAAAAGGTTGCTATACAATTAAACTTTTGACAAATCCCAAAAAAAAAAACATGAAGAAGAATCACATAAATGCAGTAGCATCATCGTATACAAGACTTGAGGAAAGATGGACTCAACTCTGGGTTGGGTTTTACTAAGAGAGGCCCTGAGAAGTGTGTATGTAAACACTTGACACTGCATTTGTTTGCGTTTTCCTGGATGCATCTCTTCTTTCATTGCGTACATTCTTCAATCCAGCTTGATGTAATTTTTCGTCTGTTCTATCTTCTTCGGCTCGGCCGGGAAATATTTGATTCTACTAAGGTCACCTACTTTGCTTATAACCTGTCCAACACAAAAACGACAAATTGATTCAAAACAATTTATTACATTGTGACCTAGCTCTATGCAATTAGTTTTTGTGCTTGGGGACTTCTTGACTATTTATCAGACCAACAAAAAGATAGAAGTTTCTTCATGAGTTGATTAACATAGACATACGTGGCATTGGGGGCATAGTGTGTGTAATAACGCAAGCGAGTAGAATGCATACCTTCAGGGCTCTTATAAGATCTTCTCTTGAATGAGATGCAGATATGCAAATACGTGCCCTAGCCAGTAGTAGAGGTGTAGCTGGGAAACCAACAACCACCACCGCCACCTGTTCAGAGTTTCAAAGTTTAATTGCACGCACTGGTTAATATTTTACCTTTTATGTTGTTGGCTAATCGAGTTCTAATATCAGATTTGAAAAAATGGAACTTACATTTTGTCGCAGACATTCCCTTGAGAAAGATGGGATTTTTGCTGGGTTGTAAAGCATTATTGGCATAACTGGGGAATCATTGTCTCCAAGTACCTCAAATCCCATCTTCTGCAGCTCAGCCCGGAAAAAGTTGCTGTTCTCGCGTATTCTTGCTAGCTTTTGTGTCCCTGTTCAGGATTTGAGAAGAGACTAGATAAGACTGTGCTCATTGACCCCAAAAAGTCAGTTAATGACACAATGAGAAAGAAATCAGAGTACCTCGGTTTGAACCGTCCTCTCCCAGAATAACTTTAATGGCAGATATAATTTGTTGTGCGGAAGGAGTTGGTATGGATGTTGCGTAAAGGTGACCTGGGCATTGATGCTTCAGATATTGGATGAGCTCCTATAGAAGTTGAACATCAAATAATAATAAATTGATTAGCCTTTTGTTGAATTTGAGAAGTGTACAATTTACCTAAGCATCACATGGTATGTGGTGTAGATACCGAAGGAGGCCTTAGACCGCAGTAAATGTAAACAAAAGTAAGCACTTGCTAACCTTAGATCCAGCAATATAGCCTCCACAAGACCCAAAAGATTTCGTGAAGGTTCCCATCATTACATCTACATCAGTTGTGTCAACTCCCAGGAGTTCACAAATACCCTTTCCTGTTTTACCAATTGCCCCAATGCTGTGAGCTTCATCCAAGTAAACATATGCCTGGAACGAGGATAGAAGATACGTTAAGAGTATCTTTTCACGCATCAGAAATCTTCAAATGGGTTTAAAAAATATGGTGTTGCAAAGGGAAATTTAGGCAATAGAGTTCCTTGATCTCTCGCCAATGTTGAATGTGGCACATAGTGAACCAAGTTACTTTTTAGGGGGTCTTTGCACACACAGAATGGTTTCAGTTTTCAACCGGTTTTCACAATTGGTATTTCAGGACTATTGCCTCACCTCATATTTCTTGCATATGGCGACAATTTCAGGCAGTTGACAAATCTCCCCTTCCATGCTGTAAATACCTTCAACAACAACAATAATTTTTTTCTACGGTCGGTGTGTCCTAGGCTGCCCCTCTGCAATCTGTTCTCTCAAAACTCGTTCCAAATGGGAAGGCGCTAAGAAACAAGAAAAAAAAAACACATGTAAGTCATCCAATTATTTGGAAAGACCTTTTGGAGCTGTAAAACCACAAATGCTTACTGTTCTGCTGGAAAACACGGATAGTAGCTCCTGAACCTCGAGCACCATTGACAATCGAACTATGGTTCAGAGAATCACTTATTATCAACCCTCCCTGTGTATAAGGCAGCACAGGGGAAAATCTTTTTTTTTTTTAAAAAACACTTAACGCATGGGTTTCAGAAAAGCGGCAACATGGGCTTCGATGTCAAAATGTAAAAAACCGTTGCATACCTTTCCAATCAAGACTGGAAGGATAGCCGAGTTTGTTGCATAGCCCATGCCAAAAACAACAGCAGCAGGCTTTCCAACAAATCTAGTGACACATTCCTCAAGTTCTGCATGCACTGATGTAGTTCCTGATGGCAGTAAACAATTTTTTCAGGAAACTGAGTCTCCCAGAAAAATAAAATGGTTCTAGACTATACAGGCAAAGACAATGTACCTGCATCAACACGAGAGCTGCATGTACTTGCTGAAAATTTCTTCAAGGGCTCAATAACACGAGGCGTGCAATATTCATCAAAAGAACCAAACCCAAGATATTTGGGACCCCAAATTGAGGCACCTGCTAGTCTTTGTTGTTCGCCTGCACAGAGTTGACACCGAAGGTTTACTCAGCAACTCTCTTGGCATAGCCATTATGTAATTCTAAGCCTCCCGGAATTAATAAACTTCAATGGGACAATATAACAAGAATACATCACTCGCATATTGGACTCAAACTTCCCACTTGGTTTTCATATTCCTCAACAAAAACCAACCATAGAAGCTACAACTATTGATAGCAAATCAGAAGGCAATAGACTCACTTTAACGTCTTGTTGTTATCTTTAGAGTAGCGTTCGACCACATCAAACCAAGCATCAGGTGCATTCGATATGGGTCGTCCGAAACAATCCTTCAATCAGATAAAGATAACATTAGGCATCTCAAAGCTGTAAACTTGTGAAAAGAATCCACCGAACACTTAGAGCTTGCATAACTACAATGCAAGCGAATTCCAATAGTAACCAAAATCAAGTTTAATCAGAACCCAAGCAACGAAATGGATTGATGATGATGAAATACCTGAATCCGATGATACAACCGCCTGATATAGAAATCTTCATGCCCCAAACAGATCGGTGCGTATCCCTATATAGAAATTAGTTTGATAAAAGCTCAGTACATTGATCCGCATGTACGTACATTATATATATGAAAGATGCAGAGGGTATATAGAAACAGACATTGAGATTGCTAGCGAACCACCAATCGAGGAAACGGCGGAAGAAATCACGGAGCTGACCAAATGCAAAAAGCAATCCGTAGCTGAAGTATGTTGATACAGCGGTTAGATAAGGGATCGTAATCATTTCTTCAAGTCGGAGGCTTCGTCTCAGTCTTCTTCCCCGGTTAATCAATCAAAACTACTCCTCCTCTCTTTCCGTTCGTCTCTGGACCGAATCGGAAACGAATTTGACGGAGGAGGAGATCTGGAGAATTTTGCGACTCTCAGAAATTGAAAGTT